GTCGCACAAAACCGACAAACGATAATCCTCATCGATATACATCGATTGGCTTTTAAATTTTTGAAATCGGTCGAACAGGTTTTGAGAGAACGTCGATTTACGGCAAAAAATCTGTTCACATACACGCACACACACATACTTTTTCCAAATTTGGCCTCATTCGATTCAGAATGGCTTGAAACGTCGAGAAAACATAAAATCATTTTTTTTGATGAAAACATAAAATCCTCCTTTGGGAAGTTAAAAATTCTTGTAAAAACAATATGCAATCATAAAAACGGAAAGTTGACCAATAGCGTTATTATCACGGTGTGTGCATAAAGCGCGTCGCGCTATTTTCCTTATACACACGAAAGTGTGCATAAAACGCGCGAGGGGTTGAATTACACATTTGAATTATACAAGTATTTTGTTTTATTCATAACCTGTTAACTTCCAGAACCTAAACCAATAAGTTTTTTAAGTTCACTAACGCAATGATATAAAAATGTAATTTTACATATATTAACGGATTAACGATAAACGTTAACTTGCGTTAATTCTTCCGAAATGTAACGCTTTAACGTTTAACGAAGCTAACTTTTTTTGTAGCGGATTAACGATTTGCGAAGTTAACTATTTGATTAACGGGCCCAGCTATGTATATATATATATATATATATATATATATATATATATATATATATACTCAAACAGTCCCACAAAAATAAATTTGAAAAACTTTTAATTTCACATAATAAACGTTCTGTCCCTCTAATTAAAGACGATTTGATAGACAAATGGCTTAAGAACGTTTCTAATAAAACCATTCCCCAACATTTAAAATATATTTTTGCCCTCGGTCCAAAATTCTCTCTCCCCCCTTCCAAAAAACAGTTCAATTTCATAAAGATCCTTAGCAATCTAGAGTTGGGTATTTGTAAATTAAAAGATCCAGAAAAGGAATCAAAATTAAGATTAACTTGTTGCAATAATTTTTTATCTTTTATTTAAAAAAAATTAAATACCCATTCCAATCCTTTACAGTTAGAAATTGCCAGAGATTTAAAATTATGCAAAAAGTTCTTGAGAGAAAATCCTGACATTATAGTTACCAGAGCTGATAAGGGAAACCTTACTGTGATTATGAATAAGTCTGATTATCTCTCAAAAACCGAAGCACTTTTAAATGACACACTTACATACAAACCTTTAACTAATGACCCTACCGATTACATAAACAGAAAAACTCATAAACTTATCACAAATTTAATCCAAAAAAAAAACAAATATCCAAATCTTTAGGTTCTTCCCTTAAGGTTTTTCATCCAGACTTTCCTAAATTATATTGCCTTCCAAAAATCCATAAAGCAGATTTACCGTTAAGACCTATAGTTGCTGACATAAACTCACCATTAAGTAATTTAACTAAATATTTAAGTACTATTCTCTCTAAGGTCACCATTTTATCAAAATCTAATGTCTCTAACTCTTTCATTTAGGCAAAATTTCTCAACAACTTAAGTATACCGTCTGACTTTTCTTTGGTTAGCTTTGATGTCGTTTCGTTGTTTACTAACGTTCCATGGGATCTTGCGTTGGATGCCATTTCGGATCGTTGGAATGACATCAAACCACATACAACTATCAATTTATTTTGGTTTAAATACATTTTAAATTTCATATTTAATAATACATATTTTTGTTTTGACAATAAATTTTTTGCTCAGATTTTTGGTATGCCTATGGGTTCTAGCATTAGTCCCCTTTTGGCAGATTTAACTTTACACCTACTTGAAAATTTTGTTCTACCCAAACTTCCTGTACAACCTTTCTTTTACTTTAGATATGTTGATGACGTTCTCTTGTGTTTAGAAAATAATTCCATCTCCTCCACTCTTGATGCCTTTAATTCTTTTAACAATCATTTAAAGTTTACTTGTGAGTTTGAAGATGACAATTCCATTAGTTTTTTAGACATTAAACTTATTAGAAACCAAAACAATTATATTTTAACTGATTGGTTTCAGAAACCCACTTCTTCTGGTAGATACATTAATTACTTATCGTTTCATTCTCGTTCTGTAAAAATTTCCATCATCATTTCTCTCATTGATAGAGCTATTCTTTTAAGCAATAAAACTTTCTGGAATAAAAACTTGGATTTAGTCCGCTCTATTCTCACAAATAACTCTTATCCTTTACATTTAATCAATTATATAATTAAAAATAGGTTAAAATATTTAAATGTTACCAATATTGATAATAATAATGTCACATCCGTTGTTCAAAAATATTTTACCGCTGATTCAAATTCTTCTTCTTTATTTAGCAAATATAAAGGCATTATTTGTTTACCTTATTTAGGGAGCTTTTCTTATTTTTTAAAAAAACTTTTTTCGGTTGAAGGTTTTCTTTTAGTTTTTACTTTTTATAACACACTCAGTGCCTTGTTTTCTGCTTTAAAATCAAAATCTCCCTCTGACAGAATCAGCGATGCCGTTTATAAAATAAATTGTTTAGATTGTGACAGTTGTTACATCGGTGAAAGTTCTCAATACATTAGCAAAAGAACGAATCAACATATTTATAATTCAAAAAACCCTAGACAATTTTAACAATGTTTTCTGAGCACATTATTAATTTCAAACACTCTTTTAATACTGACCATCCTATAATTTTATATAAAGAAAAAAATGTAGACCTTAGAAGATTTTCTGAATCATGTTTTATCTATTTAAATTCAAATTGTGTGAACAAACGCAGTTCTTCTTGCTTACTCTCAGAAAGTTATCAAAATATAATCAATTTCTGTAAATCTGACTCTCTACTACGCCCCTGATATCCCCACTTTTCCATGCTCGCGTTCTGGCAGCATAGCGTACTACTCGTCGCCGACGCAAATAAGTCAAACCGTGTTGCTATGCTATCGGTTAAAAACAAAATATGTGTTTCATACAATTTTACTTTTACCTTTTTTGGTCTTTTCTTAAATTATTTTTGCTTTCCTACAGTAGTAATATGTGATTGTGGTGTTGTAAATTGTGCTAATATAGTGTGTATAATTGTTGTTTTCAATTAATTTTTCCAATATAAGTTCATTTTTTAAAACTTTTTCTTTATAATGTAAATTTCTTTTAGCTGAATGATGAGACACATCTAGTCTCGAAACGTATAAAAAATAAAATAAATTCTTTACATTCGACGCATTGGCTGTTTTATTCATTTCAATATGTTTCAACGTCGAACAAAAAATCCTCAAGATATATATATATATATATATATATATATATATATTTGCATAGTCTTGAATTTTGATATAATATATTTTATTTGAGGTTGAAGATGGCGTTGCATCAATAAAAATAGTATGAAAGTTTTTAGAAATTTATTTAAAATCCATAAGTTTCGGCTAACATCCTAGCCTTCAGTGAAATTCAGTGTAATATTCTGTCAATTACAATGATTAAACTATTTAAATAACTTTTGATAGTTTAAAAAATAATAATAATAGTAATAATAAACTAATCTAAAACACAATTTGGTATCCTTAATTAATTAAACACTATTACACCATGGTATTCAGATGTGCACTATTGTAAAATTTATATATTTTGGCATTACAACAAAACACACAAATCAACATGTATAATACTTATTAAGTTATATTTTGGGTTTGGGGTTTATTTTCAAAAAAAAAAATCAAATATCGAGAATAATTTGGTTTTTAATTTTTAATTTGAGCTAAAATTATAAAGATCGCTTATATTCTTGAGATAAATAATTTTAACTTTGCAATTCAAAATATAACTTTCAAAAATATTATATAAGGCTGTTCATTCTAACTCCGCTAAATTAATTTTTGTTCATGTACTTTTCTTGTAAAGATGTATAAACATCGTCGTCAAATTTATAATCCTTTATATTTTATCTACAAAATATGAATGATGAATGTTACAGTATTTATAATATTGCGGTACGGGTAGCACCAACAATTTGCCTTAAAGTGCCATACTCCGCTGAAGCTGGTTCCGCATAAATGTAATCATTTATTCATTCAGTCAATATTAGTAAAATGTTTTTTGAATCATTGTAAATGCATGTTTTGTTCTCACAAAAACTGAATACCCATTTTTTTAACTTTTTGTCCCGTATCTTCGAAACCGCTGGATCTGACTATCCCAAAAACTAACCCAAACGTCTACCTATCAATGAGAATCGATTATTTTTCAAAGTATGTCAAAATGTACACAATCTTTTGATACTAAAAGATATATACAATCAGTTCTCGATTTTTTGCGGTTACAAAACGGACCCTCTCCACTCATAATACATGCTAAATAGGAAATCAAAGACAATCTTCTCCATCGCTGTTGTTTGCTTTAAGTTGTTATAAAAAAAACATTATATCTAGTGCAGTTATAAAATTTCAGGTCCAGCCACATAAAATTAGCTACTGACATTAAATTGGCGAAGTGAATGGGTTAAAATGACTTATAGCAATAACAATAAATTAAAATAGATAAATAGTATAATACTCGATCAATGAAAAAGATTCATGATGTACAATATAGTTAGAGTAACAAAAACCAGTTACTTAAAATCAAATAAATTGTAAATAAATCAAATAATGTCATCTTATTATTCTAAACTTAAAACTATGAAGTTTATAAATAAAATGAATATAGGTAAGTTCTTTCAGGCAGATTCCTCTACTCACAATAAAAAAATGTAAAATATATTTTACAAGCATTAACATTGTCAGTCAGATAAAACACAGTCAAGCTAATTACAGAAGAATTATAATTCTATGGCACTTGTATATTGTGGTTCAAAATCTCAATTTTCCATGTTTAATAGTGCATAAAAATTAAAAACCTAAGCTTTAAAAATGTATTAAATCAAAAATACAAAAAACTCGTAAGTAATTATTGACTACTAATTAGCAAAGTACACATATTTTTATTCAGGTGGACAAACAAAAAATAAAATGTATTAGATTCATTAATGTATCTTCCTTATATTATATATAATAAATAATATTATATTTAGGTTTCATGATCAAAAAACGCGATTATTATAATTATTTATCCCATAATCCGCTTTCTCTCATACGTGCTTGAAAATATTTTTCAAACAAAACAGCACATTTATAATACTCAGTTTCAGGTAAATTGTATTGCTTACAATTGGAAACTATACGTGACATATCCGCTATGAAGAGTCTCCTAGTTACATAATAACCATTGGACATTCGGGTAGTGATAGTTTGCAAATCTGCAATAATAGGAATATAGCTTAATACACAAAAATAAACATAACCAAAATATATGAACAAATACATAGTACATAAAGATAATATAAATAAACATGTTTATATAAGTATATAATATATTTATAGATGCATATATTTGAACGCATTATAGATTCAAAAAATGCCAATTGTACTAATATAAGTAAGACTTTATTTAAAACTTTTGAAATATTTATCTTTTCTTTAAATCTGATTCATCCCACTCATAATAATCCGTCACGGATGCAATGCAACTATGCCAATGACCATTGTTACACCCTCCATTCGCGCTCCATTTTTCCGAAACGGCAAAATTGCCTTTTGCAAAAATGCCTCGTTCGAGTACGAACCGAATGATTTTTCAATCATACAAATCGGTTATTTCATACTGTCGAAAATGTCGAGGACACTTGTTTGAACCATATTCGTGATTTTTAAAATTAAAAATTTTGGTACGAAACCCAAAAAAATGACACAAAATGCGAATACATTATTAAAATCTCTATAAAACATATGATAAATTGATGTGCATATGTCTAATGATCATTTTTGACCGCCAAATGGAATTTTTAATTTTTTTTTATTGGAACTCCATAACCACTGAACCTGCCTTTCCAAAAATTTGAACAATTCTTCGTTTAGTCAATACAAATAAAATGTTTTTTGAATTATTCACATCGAACGCTTCGTTCTCTCAAAAACTGAATTACCATTTTTTTCTCTTTTTGCCTTATATCTTCAAAACGGCTAGACCTGTCTATACCTAAAAACTAATCAGCACGTCACCTTATCAATACGAATCGAATGTTTTTTAAATTATTCAAGTCGATTATTCCATACCATCGAAAATGTCGAGGACATTTGTTTGAACCATATACCCGAATTTTAAAATTAAAAATCATGGTACGAAACCCAAAAAAATTACACAAAATGTGTACACATGATTGAAATTAAATGTATAGCGTAGACTAATGAGGCACTGCTTCAAAATCAAGTATTGCAATAATAGAAAGAATGCAATATAAAATTCTAAAAATCATTCTAAACGCACTGTGGTACGTGACAAACTTTACAATACACAATGATCTGAAAAGGTTAACAGTCCAGCAAACAATACAAGAGCGTGCCTTAATCAATAGAAATAAATTAGAGACCCACCCAAACCCAATAGTTGCAGACATCTTAATACCGCATTACAATAGAAGACTGAAAAGGATATGACCATTCGATTTTATGTAAACTTAAGTAAGATATATCACTGGATTATCTTATATAATATCATACTTATTTGAATGTATAGTTTAGTTAGCTTATAGAAATTATTTTTGCATTTCTAATTGCTAAAATAAAGTGAAATAAAAAAAATGATTAAAATCTCTATAAAATATCTGATAATTTAATGTACATATGTCCAGTGAACATTTTTGACCACCAAATGGCATTTTTTGACTTATTTTTATTGAGATTCCCTAAAATTTAATCAGTTCTTCATTTTGTTAATACTAGTAAAATGTTTTTTGAATTATTAAAATAGGACGCTCCGTTCTATTAAAAACTGAGTTACTGTTTTTGGCACTTTTTGCCCGGATCTTTGGAACGGCTAGGCCTGCCTTCAATACCGAATCGAATATATTTTGAATTATTCAAATCGGTTGATGGGTGTTCCGGAAATCGTCGACGATTTTTATCCGCACACACACACACACTTACTTTTGTTAGCAATAGCCTCATCAGAGAAAATTGCAATTGGGAGGTATTAGAAATCTATACTGCTAGTAATGGCAATGTAATCATCTGGCAAATATCTATAAATAGAAACATTAGAAGACATGTGAAGATATCTAAAGCCATTGTGTGATAAATCTTTTGATTTATTGCAAACCTATTATTTTAGAATACGCTGATGAACATACTAAAGAGCTGATGGAAGAATAACCAAACCATAATAGCATCAAATCAAAGGCAATCTGTGCACTGGTGGAATGAAAGAAATCAGGTCTCTTCGTAAAAGTGCCATAAGAAAAGAAGGATCTCTCAGGTTCTAGCCTCACAAATTCTGCACAACTGGTAGTTGAATACAAACTGGCACGTCGGCTACTAAATAAAGCTATCAAAAATAGTAAAGTTAGGTGCTCGAAAGAGATTCTGGATGAAGTCGAGGAAAACCCATAGGAAAGGCCTTATAGGACTGTAATTTCTCGCCTCAAAAGCAAAATAGAACAAAGTAACTACTTTGTTCCCACGATAACCTAATTTAAACTACCAAGTAACACATGTAGACCTGAATAATATTCCACCTATAACACTGCAAGACCTGATGGAAGCTCGTCATCGGGTTGGAAATAGTAAGGCACCGGGATTAGATGGAATTCCTAATATCGTCTTAAAAACATCAATTATGACATCTCCGACAATGTTTCTTAAGCCTATAATACATGTCTAAGAGAAGGGGTTTTTGGAAAATGGAAACAACAAGGACTAGTGCTTCTTCTCAAAGGAAAAAAAACACCAGATGAACCATCATCTTGCCGTCCGAATGCGTGCTGGATACGGCGGGAAAAATTTTTGAAAGAATAATTTACCAAAAAAAAGTACTGTCTCGTAGCTACATTGGATATCAAAAATGCTTTCAATTCTGCAAACTGGGATTGCATTATGTATGCACTCCGTGACAAGAATGTGCCAGTATGCCTCTGCAATATAGTCGCAAGCTACTTTACGAACAGAATTCTAATGTACGATTCACGCGATGGTACAGAATAATATAATATAACAGGAGGTGTGTCGCAGGGCTCTGTTCTAGAGCCTTTGCCGTGGAATATTATGTATGACGGCCTAGTAGCATATGCAAACGATGTAGCCGTAGTAGTTGTCTCCAAACAAATTGATGAGATCGTAAGTCTATTTGACATAACTTTTAAAACTAGTTGGTTTGGTATTTAGCCTTGAGGCAAGTTACATGAACTTCCCGATATATTTAAATAATAGACTTAATTAATAAAAAATAAATTAATTTATGAGTCATTAAAAGTATTCCGAGTGGATTTATTACACATAATTGAAAACGAACGAACTCGGAGTATTTCTAAAAGCAAATTTTCAAAAATCATAATTTTATAATTGAACCAGTTTTCAGGACTTTAATGATTTATTTGTTCAAGACCAAGTACTCTCTCATTATACCAAGTAAATAGTCTAATTTTAATTTAACAAATGTCAAAAGAGTACTCATTTTCTCAAACTTTGATGAATTTTTAAAATCAAACTATTTGTCTTAAGGCCGTAAAAAATCAATAATTTTTATAATTGAACCAGTTTTCAGGACTTTAATGATTTATTATGTTCAAGACCAAGTACTCTATCATTATACCAAGTAAATAGTCTAATTTTAATTTTAACAAATGTCAAAAGAGCTACTCATTTTCTCAAACTTTGATGAATTTTTAAAATCAAACTATTTGTCTTAAGGCCGTAATATTTCAGTAAGTTCTATAAGACCATGGTAAAAAAATCCATAAAAATCGGCTTAAATTTTTTTTTTTTTCAACGGTTAATTACAAGAAAACGGCTCGGTAGATTTTCACCTAAAACTGATCAGTATCATTCCCAATTAATATCTTTCGAACACTTTTTGATTTTTTAAAATTGGTTCGGTAGGATGAGCTTAAACGTGGACGAAAAGTTTAACACTTTTTTTCAAATTACAAAGAAACGGCTTGGCTGATCGTCGCACAAAACTGACAAACGATAGTCTTCCCCGAAATACATCAAATGGCAATTAAATTTCTGAAATCGGTTCAGGCGCTTTTGAGAAAACGTCGATCAAAAGTCTAATTTTGACAAATGTCAAAAAAACTACACCAATGTTTGCAAACTTTGACGAATTTTTAAAGCTAAACGAGTTGTCGTAGGGCCGTAATATTTTAGTATGACCTAGAAAACTATGGTATCTACCGTCAAAAAAAAAATCATAAAAATCGTCGAATTTTTTTTTTTAAAAACGTTATTATAAGAAAACGGCCCGGCCAATCTTTACGAAAAACTAATCAGCACGATTCCCAACCAATATCTATCGAATGGTTTTTGAATTTTCAGAATCGATTCAGAATTCCGGGTTAAAACGTGGGCGAAAAAATTTTCACTTTTCTGCAATTTACAAAGAAACGGCCCGGCCGATCGCCGCACAAAACTCAAAGACGATAGTCCTCATCGAGATACATCAAATGGCTGTTAAATTTTTGAAATCGCTCCAGCCGTTTTGGAGAAAACGTCGATTTACGGCAAAAAATCTGTTCACACACACACACACACACACACACACACACACATACTTTTTCCAAATTTGGTCTCATTCGATTCAGAATGGCTTGAAACGTCGAGAAAACATAAAATTAGCCATTCGGATTTTTTCGTCGAGAAAACATAAACTTCTCCTTCGGGAAGTTAAAAATTAATCGCTGCACGAAAATAATGAACCTCCAATTAGCTCAACAAAAAAGTGAAGCTGTTCCTATCACGAGTAGAAAACCAATAGAGAGTGTGCGTCATTTCAGGAACTCTGCCTCTCTTAGTCTTAGTAGAAGAAAGATGGTCAATTTACCATCATCGAAGACATCAATAACTGAGCCCTTTTTTATTTAATTTATTTAATTTAGTTTTATAAAAAATCATTAAAATATAAGAAGTTAAAAAACTTTCAGAACAAAAATAAAAGATTGTATTATAGTAACAATCAATACTGAAAGTTTCGGTAAATAAATAAATCAAATAAAAAATATGAAGCTATGAAGAAATCATTTTTAACGGCGATTAAACAAAAATATAAACTTTAAATAAATATAAAATATAAACTCCAAATAAAATATTTAAACTTGAAATAAAAGTTACAATTCTATCAACAAATGTCAATAATCTTTATAGTATTTCAAATTAACAATGCCAACAAGCTTCAAATCAGGTTTGATTACGTATTTTGTATGTTTTA